CCCCAAAACCCCAAAACCCCAAAACCCCAAAACCCCATTAACTTGGTGAAGATTGAAACTGTATTGCATATATAACAGAAGAAAGATAAGAAGAAATAATTAATTTTAAAAACAATTCTCTTTTACTCAGAAATGGGAGCCAAAACATCAAAATCAACTACTCAAGTTAATGTAAGTCCTTATTTCCACACCTAAGCACCCTTTGATAAGGCTCTGAGCTGCCTAGTGCAGGTATTTCATGCCAGCAGTTTATTTAAAAATTTTGCGAACTTATGCTGATATTCATATAGATTAAAGAAAAACTAATTTGTCGAAAAGTCGAGCAATTACTTGACACTGTCTATGATGACGATACTCAGGAACTCAATTACACAAGTATAGTAGAATTTTGGGAGACCCTCAAGAACAAAACTATTTTTAAGAAGAAGTGCAAGAATAAGGAAGGTCTTCTCAAGGCCTTCTATAATCTAGAATTCACCAACTCAAACCTGAAGATCAGCCAGTTGCTGATCATCCACTTAAAGGAGGAGCATATGATTGAGTTGCTAAGGAGAGATGCCTCTTTGGCAGATTCGATCAAGGATGATCTTGACTCAGAAGGTAACACCTGCGGTCATATCGCCTTGATGTATGACAAGCAAGAAGTTCTCTCAGAACTCATCTCCTTGAATCCAAAATTGGCAGTCATCAGGAACAAAAAGGGTGAATGTATCTCAGAAATAGGTGAAAGATTCAATAGGACCTGCACTGAGGCTTTCCTTACTGCCAGGATGATGACTTCTCCCTCATCTGTCAGAAGGCATAGCCTTCTGGCTGATAGGATGGATTCCTCCTCCTTGTCCGATAGCATGGACAGAGATTAGGAGTCCCAACTCTAAATAATTTAGGAATACTTAGGATAATTAATTAACCAAAAATGGCTTTCATTTGTACTCTTAAGCATACAATTTTAACCCACACTTGGGATTTTGGGTGAACTTGCTGCTTCTTAGAATTCGAAAAATTCTCGAAGTATCTGACATTTCCAGGTGTCTTAGTAAGGTAGAGAAGTATTATTTTCGTCCTTGGTCTTACCTATAAAAATATACAATATTCAACCAATTTTTAGTAAATTCAATTTACTTAAGATGGTGAGGGGTTTTGGGGTTTTGGGGTTTTGGGGTTTTGGGGTTTTGGGG